GCACTCATTTTCTACGCAATCTACTCCACCATCCCGTGCCCATACGCAAGCTACGGCCCACGACAAGATTCCGAAGCCGAAGGCAAAAGTGCTTCCCGAGAAGTTGATGCAGATGAAAGTGGAACTCGAAAGGTTGAAGACGAACAAGCTCCAGCTCAAAGAAATCATCGTCATGGCCCAACGCCCACATGGAACAAAGGCAAGGGCAAGAATTTCTCCGGTAAAAGGTGAAGGCAGGGGAAGAACAAGAGCACTCTGTCCACGAAGCAAGAGGCAAGTAGCGGGAGATTCACATCCCCATGGCCATACCATATGAACGACCTTGGGGACAAAATTAGGGACAACTTTGGGGACGAGTTTGGGAATAACTTGTACGCCACGTAAAGAAGCGTGCTCAGTGAGCTTTTTACTTGTCTGCATTTTAATATGTTTGCTGCGACTCGCTCCACGCCATCTGTCCAAAACAAAATAATCACCTCCACCTGGCTGCATAGCACGCTGGCTCAGCTTTCCGCCCATGCAACGATGAAGTCACTTGATCAAGGAATGGATTGCCAAGTGACATCATGAAGTGTAGAAGTGTCACTACATGCGTTGAATGGTATGAAGTCATTAAATGCATTTTCATTGTTTTCCCGCTGTTCGAGGTGAAGCCTTGACATTTCTGAATTTAAAGTGTGGTCCTGGGCACAAGGGGTCTTGGCGGCCAGCTCCTCGCATGCAAGAAAGCCAGCTGGCCACTTGTGCTCAGCGGGCTTGGCAGTGGCTGGCAGGAGGGGGCCCGGCACTGCTGTCGGTAAGCAGCTCGCCAAGAGGCGGCAAACCCATCAAGATTGCCTTGCGGGGAGAAGAAAGAGGAGGAAGAAGCCCCATTCTCAGTTCTGTTCACTCCTCTGCTCTTCTTCTTTTTCCTGGAGGAACGGGCACAGGAGGAAACGCCCGCACGCTGCAGAGCCCTCCGTCAGCCCACGTTTTCATCAAGGCAAGCAGAGAAGCCCGTTGTCGGGCTCAGAATGCCTTTCGACCTCTCGAGCCACGCCAGCCGGCACCGCTTCGACTCGTACCCTCGTGCCTCGCGCTTACCACTTAGCACTTGGCAGGCGTGTGCGCAGTGCTGAGCGGGCGAGCTTGAGCGGGTGTGCAGGGCCTGAAAAGCTGACGGCAGCAGAATGGCCGCTTCGCAGGAGCCACGATAAACAAGCTTGCGCGAAACGGGTTCCACATGGACGTGTGATTCTTCCCGCAAGCGATTGGAATCCGTTTATCAGAGCCACCCACCCGAAACCCACCCCAAACACGTTGAGTGGGCCGAGTGGAAGCCACTCCCGCCCAGCAGCTGGCTGTGGATGCCAGTCGGACACCGTGACGGGCACTCCAGAGGCGCACGGCGGCGACATCTTGACGTCCGCGAATGCGGCGCCACAAAGCTTGCCTGGGACGGGTCATTTGCAACACGTATTGGGGGGATGTGCCAAGCTAGTGGCGAAAATCACAATCGGTGGTTTACTTTGTATGGCCTGCACCTAGATGGAAAGGGTACCCTCAAGAGAATGCAAAGCTCCCCACTTGGCTTTCAGTCACCACAGGGATAAAGGGCCTTCCACAAAGGCAATGCCTTTATTTGAAGGAGAGGCTGGGCACCTTGGACACATCAAAAGAAAGTATGCCATGCCCCTGCAAAGCCATGCCAATGAATCTATTGGCCGGTTCCCAGTTACCATGAACAGGAGCAACAAGTGAAACAAAAAAACTGCTAAACAGTTGTGGCACGTCAAGACGAAACGCGATTCCAGCTTCAAGGGCAAAAAACTCAGAGTCGCAAACACACAACATGGGGGGTTTCAAACAGGGGTGTTTCAACATGCGTGACCCAGCAGAATTCCAATGATTGTCTTGTGGATTTCCATCAAAATTCCTGCTAGTGTCCCCCAAGTTCCTCCTAGTGTCCCTTGTCACAGGGGCAGCCTTTCAGACTGCCGATGCTCACTCCCAAGGTGATTCCATCCAGATTCAAGGACAAATCCACTCCTGCATCTCTCTGGATGTTGACTGGAACTTCAGGCCAAAGAGACCCCACCTTCAACAGCCCATGAAAGATTTTTAGAACAAAAGCATGCCACAAGAAAGCAAAGGACTCCTGGACTCCCATGACATGCCTCAGCTTGGCCGGCCCCGAGGCTTTGCGGGCAGGGCGCGCTGGCGCGCATCCACGATGATCCTGTGCAGCTCCTGCGGTGCGCAGCTGTTTGCAGCGAAGCGCAGTTCAGCGCAGCGGGGTGCTCGCGACTTGTGGGAGGTGGATGTTCCATCAGTGTTGCCAACATGGGTAAAAAATGATGCCCAGTAGAATGATTCCGGCAATTTCACACCATTTACTTTGGACGCTCCTTTTGGCTGACCACACAACCGCAATGTCTGATGTTCTGCAAGGACCAAGACGCGTATGCGATGAGGGCGTTCCAGCCATCATGTGCTGTTCCATAGGTTTATGTGGTCCAAGCATTTTTGAGAGCCTCCTCCTAAAAATTCAATGCCACGCATGCTGCAAAGGGATGTCCCGCCTTTGGCCTGGGCACATGGGTGGGGTAGGGCGGCATCTTCGGGCAGGCATCCACGCGGTTTCGGCGCCATTCCAACACCTCGCGCAAGCAAAAAGGGCCGACTCACCAAGCTGCAGCCAGAATCCCGCTGATCAAGAAAAATGCAAACGGAATCCGAAGACACACATCACGTATAGAATATCCTTTCTTTCTTGCTTGCTTTCTTTCTTTCTTTCTTTCTTGCTTTCTTTCTTTCTTTCTTTCTTTCTTTCTTTCTTTCTTTCTTTCTTTCTTTCTTTCTTTTCTTTCTTTCTTTCTTTCTTTCTTTCTTTCTTTCTTTCTTTCTTTCTTTCTTTCTTTCTTTCTTTCTTTCTCTCTCTCTCTCTCTCTCTCTGTCTCGCCAGCAAAGAATCTCCTTGGGGGCAATCCGTTTCTCCTGAATCCGTCATAAATCAGGGGGTCTTTGAGCCTTTTCCAATCATGGAAGCAGATAGGGGACATCGGGAAAATGGTATTGTTCTGTCCGCTCGCATGAACGTTGGAAGGGCCTCTCTGCGCTGGCTCCCACATTCACACAAGGTTAGCCACGCATAGCATTTGCGAAAACCCGTCAACCAACACAGTGCAATATTGGAGTACTCACCTGAGTGCTCAGGTGATGCCCAAAGGATTTGGTTTGAACCTCTAAAGGAAGAAGCATCACATTTGGCACCCTGATCCTTTGAAGGCCAAAATGATTGGTTTCCATGTGGTTTCCCTTTCAACCAACCAACCCAAAACACACATGTGGTTGATACACATGTGTCTAGCAAAGGCTTGATACAAAGCCTAAGAGCCTAACTCATGAGGCGGTGGTCCTTCAAGGCACGAAGGCAACCCCCAAGCTTCGCTTCCCGGGTTTTGCCCCGTTCAGGTGATGTTCAAGCCATCCTCTGGATGGAAAATGGGTGCGTCGTCTGCGGGTCCAAACCAAGAATCGCATCCCTTTCCGGACGAGCCTCATTTCGTTAGTCGAGCGTACCTCTTTGGGGTTGCAAAGGCCAACAAAGAACTATTTGGCCGGGCCTCACAAGCTCAAATGGCCTAGTCTCACATTTTGAGGACCCCTACAATGTTGTTTTGAAAATAACCGGCAGAGAAGTCGTGCCATCCACATTTAAAGAACAACCCTGAAAAGGGCACCGAGCCTCGGAAAGACATACAAATGGGTGTGGAACTTTATTCGGGGACACTTTGGTGGACATGTTTTTCGGTGGGGATGTATGTCCACTCACCATCGTTTGGGAGGGCCCTTCAGCATTGAAATTCGTCGCCAAATAGACTTTGACCCTCCTCCCAAACGCGCCTCCCACTGATAGGTGCTCATGTCCAGCTGCCACTCCTCCAGCAGCTGCAGCTGCCGCCGTCGCCGCCGGAGCAGCAGCGAACTCAGCGAGTTCGCGGCAGGACGGCACGACGAAGTTTGCCCGCGGCGTTTGGTTGTTTTACCTTTGGTTATTCCCCAACAGCTGAGGGCTATGGGGCTGGGAGGGTCCGGAGCAGCTCCAGCCTGGGATGCGGAAAGGGTCCCGGGAGTTGCCTAATTTTTGGGGATGATGCCTGGGCTTGGGTTGGGCATCGGAGTTTGGCAGTTGTGTAGGGAGATATGCAGGTTTGGGAAATTTGCACGTTTTGAAGAGGGTGGTCGTATGGCAGAAGGGCTACTCAGTAAAGTGCATGGGCCAGAAAACGTATGTGGCCACCAGATGCAGCACAAACAGCTGCAGACAAAAATATGGCATGGTGGTTCGCGGACTTGCAAGTGGCGGGATGGCGCGTCCGCGAGAAGATGCTAGAAGAGCCCTGGTTAAAAGCCGATCAGATGGCAAGCAGCTTGTTGGCAAATATGGCCGATGTTGCAGTTAGAAGATGAAGAGGCTGGCTTTGTGAGATGGGCCAGCCTCAAAGACTGACGGCTTTCAGCTTCTTGCTTGCCTTCCCAACAACCACCCCTCATCATCTTCAATATCGCACGGTGAAGAACTACGTTGAGTGGATATCTCCAAAAGCAACTCCACGTTTAGGTTTTGTTGCTGTCAAAGGCTCTTCAGAGGAATGAAGAGCTTGCGATTGCCTCTTGGGTCTGAGGTCAGGTTTATGTGGTTCCCTACTCACCGTTTACGTGGTTCCCTTTACTGAGTCCGCAGAGAGGATACGCAATTGAACTGAACCCATGCTGACCAGCAGGTCTGCGAACACGCGCTGCTTCAACGAGAATGTGGAAATGGAACGGAACAACTGGCAAAAATGGAGTAACGGAGCCCCCCCTCCATACAGCATCTCCTTTGCCATGCAAGACTGGTGAATTTGCGGAAATCCCATGATTAAATTCTGAACAAATGATGGCCAACGGCGTGCCGGAGACGCTGATGGATGGGAGGTGCGACGGGGTAGCGATGGACGCCACCGCCTGAGGTCGCGGCTCCGCCGCCTGCGTTCGCCAGGTCTCTGGCAGAAGCCGCAGCGCTGCCTCCGTATATCCCTCCCTCTCTGCCTCTCTGGCAACGGTGGTCAGACGCTTGCAACCAGAAATTAAATGGTACATCCAAGAAACATACCATATGATATAAACATCCAAGACATGGCGATGAAAAAGCTGGCCCGAATGGTGAGCATAAGGGGCCCTGTGCTCTGTGAGGTGCTTCAGATAGGTCAGGGAAAGCAAGGCCGCTGAAATCACCGAGGAGCCACCGCCTTTACCCTCCAGTAGACAATTAACATGGAAGCCACCACGTACCTGAAAGAGGTAGGGTCCTAAGAGATTCCATGGAATCGCTTGTGGGTACCCCGCCTCGCGGCCCCGGCGGCAAGGAGCCTTGCCATCCTTCGCCTCCTCTTCGAGCTCCTGTCCGAACTGGTTGTTGAGTATGGAAAATGGAAAGAAGTTGTTGGTCTTTTCGCATAGTGGAAGTCAAATCAATGACTAAGCGCCCTCTGGGGGCCTGCTTACCCCGACCCCATATTGTAAGGGACCCTTGGGCCACGCGCCGAATGGGGCGCCTGAACGTGTTCCCTTTCCACTTAAAAACCACGCCGAGCACTCAACCACTCACCATCCCCAAGGTGGCATGGAAATTCTCTGGCTGGAAAAAATCAAAAGAATTCCTTGTCCCTTTTTGGTTTCCCTCTGAGTAGCTTAAGCACAAATTCTGGGCCTATGGGGCACCCTGAGAGGTCAGGAAGTTGCTTTTGCCCAATGCGAGTCCTTCTCCGCCAGTTCGCGCTCAATCTGCAGCATCTGCGCCTGCGAGTGGTATCAAGTTCAACCAAACCACACATGACGTTGCTGTCAGTGCATTGGGGGGGCTGTTTACCAACCTGGGACCTGCGGCAGCCGGTAGTCGAGGTATTGCGAGCATTGTGGAGAGCTGGGCATACTTGTGGATAACTAAGCAAGTCAAGATTTTGCCAGCGCCGTCCATTTCAGCAAGCTAGCCTGCAAACCTGAGGCGGTGCCAAGCCAGCAAGGCGCCGTGGACGAGGGAAACGCCGGACAGCGGGCAAATCCCCAACGGACAAGAAGCATTGGGGCAAAGCTTGGACATCTGGAAGCCGCAGAATGAATGGTCTCCCAATGGTTTGAAGCCAGAAAGGTCGCCGAGCCGAAGGAACCTTATGTGGTGCAATCGCCTTCCTGCCCTCACAAGCATTTCGGATGGGCCTTCACTGCAGTGCGTATGGTCTTCAGTCGGAGCAGGGCGCGTCGCAGGAACTGCTGCACTCGCTTCACACACGCCTGAGCTGCGAGTCTCCATTCGAACCCGCCGAATTGGCCCAAAGGTGATAGGCCCTCTCACATTTAAGCCTAAAGGGAAACGAAAGAGTGGATAAGTCTAGCTCAGAAAACGAAGCCTGCCACAATTGAATTGGGAACCCTGTCGTGGACATCATCTACATGCGCATGTATGCCCACCAAGCCACGTATAATCACAACTCATGACTCACAACCATTCAGGTTTGTCTTAAATTTATATAATATAAATTACACCAGCCTCCACCCCAAACAACAAAAAAGCATGACCGGTCTGCATAGCCCAAAAAACGGCTTGTCTCCTTCATGTAAGCTGCGAACTTCTGTAGCTTATGTGAGCAACACATAGTTACAATCAGTCCATGTATGTCCCTGCAGGAAGTCCCCTTTTTTGGGAAGAGGACACATCGGGTCCATCCATCTCCTTGACGCCGGGTAAAAGCATCGATGTTGTTCATCGACTTCGAGGAGAAAATTCCATGTCAATGCCATGTTCGAGAGTGAAGGCCCCGGGGATTCGGGGTGAATCAACCTAACACCTGGCATTAATCAAATGAACTTTCGAAGAAACTTTCGTAGTACGGACACTCAATGCACTTTTCCATCACCGCAGCATTTGGTGGCCGTCTCGCTACTCTGCTGAAACTTGCGCATCAGTCTCAGCAGCCTGCGGCCGAGACTGGACACATGTCACTTCTGGTTGCTATCTTTTCTCGAGCTCGGCTAAAGGTCTTGCCACATCCTCGCCTAGCAACACACGCCGCACCAAATTGGCAAGCGTCAGCAAAGGTGCCCGTTTGGCGCGCACCTGCCGGCGCAGCTCCAGAAAATCCTCAGTGTTTGAGCCGGCAATAGCTTGGTCATCCAGGGTCTTCATCTCTGTCGCGTCCAGCGCGCCGCATGCTCCCAAGATGGCCAACGCATGGCTTTGCTCCATGCGCCCAACGCCGCTCCACTTGGCTTTGAATGTCAGCTCCAGCCCTGCTCCATCGCGGAAACGTGTGAGAACTTTGCCCCAACTTACCAATGCTGGCTGCACAGTGCACATTTGGAGTTAGCGCTTATGGTTCGCAGATTGTTCACATGTGTGGTGAACGACCGGCGGCCGTCATTCCAGTGCGCGCCGCTGACAACAACTTCTGGGCCTTGCGTTCACTCAGCTCTAGCAGCACAGTAACCAACTGGCCGGGTTCATGAACTCTTTCCAAGTTGTCAAGGTCAGCGAAGTAGGTTGCCAGGAAAAGGCTCCTATGCATCAACCAAGTTTTTTGAGGAGAGCTCGACAAGTGCAGGGACGATGCGAACAACTCTTACAGTCCAATGGTTTGGTTGGGGGCCCGACTCACCCAGGCTTTACTTCCAGGACCATTCTTTCTGGAAACCGGTCAGAAAAAACCTTGGAGCTCGGACCCCCCTTACGATGCAACAAGATGATAAGCACGCCTGCTTGACTGTGTGTTCGCTCGTCCCTCTCTGCGATAGCACCAGATCTCCAAGAGCAAGTAACCAGGAAACCACCAAGCCACTCTGCGATTGGCGAAACGGCTCTTGTTGATGGCCCCAAAAAGAAACCATCAAACACGGCGGCGGCGTTAGCAACTCTTATTAGATTATACAGCCACCGAACATGTGTCGAAACATGGCCATGGCCGTGTGTCCTTGTTGCAATCACCACATTACCACATTGAGCACCAGAGCCGCCATTCCGTAATGTTGCAACAGCAGCACCGAAACCTTTTGCTTGAACGGGTGGGAATCGATGTAGTGGAGGCGAAGCTGTGTCGTCAAGGAAGAAATGGATGGACCATGTCTGTAGCATGTGTTGGTCTTGATGCTATCAGCACATCCCTCCAGCTTGGTTTCCCGACAAGCCACGTGTGCTGCGAGCAAGTAAATCAAAGATCTCGCCCGGAGCTGCCAAATTCAAGTCGAGACCTTGGAAAAGAACGTTGATTGCAAGAATGAAATGGAATTGCTCGGATTTCCAAAAATACTCACTGCGGGAGGCTAGCACAAGGGCCATGCAGCACAGCTCGCGTTGACCCCTTTGGTGTTCCATGGGTCCAGAGACTGTGGGGAAGCTAGTGCCGCAGAGAATGGCACCTTACGACGTCCCGCCATGAAAACCCTTGAGCCTTTGCACTTGCAGCGTCCATATTGCGGAATATGTGGAAACAAGGCTGAGAAATCTGTTTTCAACCCTTCTGTCAGGAGGCAACGAGATATGTCAAAGCTGCGACCTTGCCATCACGAAGGTGGGAAATGCTTCAGCAAAATGCGGTTGTCAGTGGGACTGGTTTACATAGGTTGCAATGAGGAAAAAGCGTCGCAGGACCAGCTAGCAAAGCGAAAGACTGGATATGATTTTGGCCGGGCCACATGGCTATCCAGCTGGGAAGGTGCTAAATACTGGCAACAATATAGGAGGCAAGGTTTACAACAGCACTGCCAACAAGAAAGGGTGCTCGAACTACAGTGATGCTACCAAGAGGAGACAGCATGAGCAGCTCACGGCGCCAAGTAATCCTAGCAAGTTCTCTGCGCAAGTTCCTCTGAGCAAGTTGTTGGCGCGAGTTCCTTTGAGCAAGTTCTCCAAGCAAGTTCTTGGCACAATTTTTTTGAGCAAGTTCTCTCAGCAAGTTTCTCTGAACAAGTTTCAATGAGCAAGTTGTCTGAGCAAGCTCTCTGCGCGCAGCGCCCGCCGCTGCAACTTGCTAGCGCCACTTGCTGGTGCCACGTGCTAGTGCCACTGGCTAGCGCTACTGGCTCGTGCATCTCGCTAGCGCTATCTTGCTCGTGCGACTGGCTTGCGCCATTTTTCTAATGGCATTTTGCCAGTGCAACTCGCTAGTGCTATCGCTAGTGCTACTTGCTAACGCAACTTGCTTGCGCAACTTGCTGGTGTCATCCGCTGGGGGTCTTTCCTGCAGCGCCGCTTCAAACGATTCTGGCTAAGACGGTGGCTGACCCGCACAAGCCGTCTAGCCACTTGGCTGGGCTCTGCTGATGCGCCACAAGGATTCAGTTAAGGCCACTTGGCTGGGCCATTCCCACAAGGATGCAAACAAGTCAGGTACGGCCACTTGGCCAGGCTGTGCTGGTGCGCCAGAAGGATGCAAACCTGCACTTGACCAAGAAGCGCGGCACTGGCTTCCAAAAAGCAGCTCAGTATCCTGAGCAAGGCAATCAGCCGGATGTCCCAGAATATTTGTTTGTCGAGAATACAGACACATTTAATTAAGGCTCGACAGGTAAGGCTCTACAGGGCTCTGCTGATGACAGGGCTCTGCTGAAGGATTTGACCAAGAAGTGCGGCACTGGCTTCCAAAAAGCAGCTCAGTATCAGCCGGATGTCACGGTATTTGTTCAGCTGATGCGCCACAAGGCTGCAAACCTGCACTTGGCCAAGCATTTAAGGCTCGACAGAGCTCAGCTGATGCGCCACAAGGATGCAAACTTGCACTTGACCAAGAAGTGCGGCACTGGCTTCCAAAAAGCAGCTCAGAACCCTGAGCACAGCAATCAGGCGGATGCCACGGTATTTGTTTATCGAGAACAACATAACATATTTAAGGCTTGGCAGGATGCGCCAGAGCGCAAACCTGCACTTGACGAACAAGTGCGGCGCTTCCAAGCAAAGTAATTGTTTATCGAGAACAAAATGGACACATTTAAGGCTGGACAGGGCTCTGCTGATGCGCCGCACAAGGATGCAAACTTGCACTTGATCAAGAAGTGCGGCACTGGCTTCCAAAAAGCAGCTCTGAAACCTGAAGCAAAGCAATGCATGCGGATGTAATATTTGGTTACCGTAGAACCAAAATGGAGCACATTTAAGGCCTCGACAGGGCTCTGCTGAAAGGATCAAACTTGCCACTTGACCAAGAAGTGCGGCGCTGGAATGTCACGGCGTTTGTCAGACTGAGCGCCACAAGGCAGCAAGACCTGCCTTTGGCCAAGCATTTAAAAGCTCGACCGTGCTCAGCTGATGCGTCCACAAGGATGCAAGACTTGCAATCTTGGCCAAGAAGTGCGCACTGGCTTCCAAAAAGCAGCATCAGTATCAGCCGTAATAATTTGTCTATTGAAACCATCTATTAAGGCTCTACAGTGCCTCTGCTGATGCGCCACAAGTGATAAACACTGACCAGAAGTGCGAGCACTGGCTTCCAAAAACAATCACCGGATGGTCACTATAAATTGCTTTTGTAAATCGAGAAACATAGACATCTTAAAGGCTCGACAGGGCCGATGCTGGGTGCTGCACAAGGCATGCAAAACCTGCACTTAGTGCGGCACTGGCTTCCAAAAAGCAGCTCAGTATCAGCCGTATTTGTCTATTGAAACCAGTCTATTTAAGGCTCGACAGGGCTCTGCTGATGCGCCACAAGGATGCGCACTTGACCAAGAAGTGCGGCACTGGCTTCCAAAAAGCAATCAGCCGGATGCCACTTTATATTTGTTTTTGTATCGAGAGAAACATAGACATATTAAAGGCTCAACAGAGCCCTGTTGGTGCGGCACAAGGATGCAAACCTGCACTTGGCCAAGAAGTGCGGCACTGGCTTCTAAAAAGCAGCTGAGTTTCCTGAGCAAAGCAATCGCCGGATGTCACGATTTGTTTGTTTAACGACAAAAAATAAGGCTCGACATTGCTGGTTTCTAGCTCCAACGATGCTCCACAAGGATGCAAACCTGCGCTTGGCCAAGAGACAGGCACATCCTTTGCACGCAGGCTAGCAGCAAAATCTGCGACACGCCCTTTCCCCGTTGCGAAGCATTGTTGCAAGTGGTTCCTGCTGACTTGTCGAATCTATGTTTATAGCTTGATGCTTCTCAATTTCGCTTGCGAGCTGCTCCCACGTGAGCCGAAGGGAGCCGAAGGGAGCCGAACGCCGGTTACTGGATGCCAAGCAAGAAACAGGTTCAGCTGGTTTTGCCCGGGAACTTCACTTTTCCTGTTGTCTCAGCATCTGGCATGTAAG